TTCAGACACACTGGTCTAACAACGCTCTATCTCGAGAAGTCAAATACCTATTTCAGCGCCGGGATTCCCTGTCTGTCGTTGACTCGGGTCGTCGTTCCTGTCTATCTTCAACAAGCCGTGCTCTGTCAGTTTCATTCTGCTCACCCTGGTATCAGCAGAATGAAAGCAAACGCCCGCAGCTTCGTCTATTGGTCCGGGATGTACACGGATATTGCAGATTTGTTTCGCCGTTGCTCCCGATGTCAACAAGCAGCCAAGAGGCCACAGCACCAGCCTCCAGTCCCCTGTCAATCAGTAGGAAAACATTGGTCTCGCACAAACATCGACTACGTTTGTCCAATCGATGGCACCTCTTACCTGGTCCTAGTTGATGCTTACTCTAAATGGCCTAAGTCGTGATCGTGAACCCTCCTACCACAACGGCAACGATAAGTTGCCTCCAGCGAACCTTCAGCCAACACGGACGCTCTGATGTTCTGGTGTCTGGTAACGGGTCGCAGTTCACGGCATCTCAATTCGAAGAGTTCTGCCGCCGTCACTGCATCCAGCACCTCCGATCACCGCCCTACCATCCACAGTCCACATTCCGCGACATAAACAGTTCAGATTTTATCAAAGAAACATTCAGTTTCCCTGCAGCCATCGCATGCATCAACTTACTTTGCTACATGTTCTTTTGGCAAGTTACATGGTGCCAATTGACTTGCTTTGCTCCCAGAGTTTACTTACGCAAATCATTCTACAATCGCGGTATATAAACAAAGCTGGACTGCGCTGTAATCGCCTTGGACTGGATAGTAAAAGTGTCTAGGGTGAAAGACCTGTCTTGTTCTTACTCTTTTCTGAGTTGGGTAGTCGCGGAAGAAGTCTGCGTTCGATTAGGAACCCGTTCAACCGTGTTGCGTCTAAGTATCCGAGTGTACGAATTCGAATCCTATCGGCTATCTTATTTGTGCGGTGTACCACACTGTCCCGAGTTCGTTCATTCAACTAGAAGTCAGGCCAGTCCGTTACACGTGTGGTGTACCATTCTGTCTCTAGTCCGTTCATTGAACTAGGGGTCGTACCAGTAGGGTAAACACGTGGCGCGTCTAAGAAGCAGTCAGTACAGATTCAATAACTCAGCTAAGGTCATTCGCTCATGAACTATGTATTTTAATGTCATTCTTAGCCATGTTTGTTCGAAATTCAATGGAGGTTTCGCCGAAAGCCTTTGTTTTCTTATCTGGGAAGTTGGCCGGTTCAGGTTGCGCAACAGAAACAGGTTATCCACACAGTCAACGGAAAACACAACACTACGCAAACGGCAAGCAGCGAAAAACCGACAAGAATGATCCATCCGGATATATCCAAAAAGTATCGGAAAGGAGAAGAAACCTATTCTGAAACAAGACAGGCGCAACAACCACCGTATGATGCAAGCAAAGTAGTGTTGGCCTGAAGCGTGTTGAATCGCTCTTATTTTATCCTATCACAAAATGATAAAACCGGGACTAGTAGGAACAAACCCAAACAACAACTGAGGTCTCTAAACTGACGTTTCCGATTCCGATTGACCCAAGGTACTTCACTTGTAAGCAAACGTCAGTGCTTTCGTCACAACATAGCAACATAAAGAATCCAGATAAGCCCGCGGAAAGTAAGTGAGTCGCCTCGTAGCAGTTACAAGCGTACGGAGCAATAGAAGGATGATAATTCTGTGGTGCCCGTGTTGAACGCGCTCGAACGATGTCTATGGTCTAGTCCATAAGACTACTGTGATGCCCATTTATCACATGGTGGTAAAATAGGCATCAGCAGCAGTACACTGCCACACAATCACCATTGATCGTACGTGAGCCTAGGATTTTGCGAGAGTCACCCGGTTCCTAGCAGGCTCGAACCCACACCTTCAGGTTACAAGGCAGGCTTGCGATACTTGAGACCACGGGCCGGTGGATGAGTGCGACCTTAAAACAAACCGGGTTTCCGTCACTGCACCATAGCCTAAGGATAAATTGGCGGAAACGACATGTCTCCTCCAAATTCCCTAAAAGACTGCTTGTCACTCAGAGACACTTCAAGTAAATCTTCCAAAACTTGCGGGTTGTGGTAGACCAACCGGAAACGACCGACACCAATGAGGGCAAATTTCACAATACAAAACAACAAAACCTAAACGTCGGTCAAGCTTGGCGAACGGATTCAAGGATATGGATAGCTCATTCCGTCAATGCAAGGGAAGGTTCACAATCCCACTGGTCTACAATTCACACGCGTCGTGGATGTATCACGAATACGAAACCATATGATCACCCACTAATGTAGATACATCATAGACAGAATACACTGTTTAAACATGTAGAACTGCAACGACGAAAAGTGAAAAATGTTCTCGTCACTGTAGGTGTAATAAATAGGCTCTTGTTCAGTCAAGCACCTACAAACCGAGTACTGAAGTGCGGTGGATCCAGCTGCAACGACTCGCGTCACCAGAGTAACGATAAATATCAACGGTGAGAACATGCGGTTAAGCATAAACAGAAGGCGAAGAAAAGTGTGTTACGAAACCAGTGGGAATGCAGCGATGCCACTGACTGCGCGACTGTGCCATGCCCGAAAGGACCAAACCACTGATATGAATCATTACGTGGTTCCCATACACGAGAACAGCACGCCCCAACCCAGCTCAATTTTTCAATTAGTTTTCTCATACCGTTGTGTCATCGAATAGTCGTTTCGCACAAGTTGGTGCAGCGAGATTAGCACTAGCTGTCCGTCACTTCGGGCTTTGCTTCGCCCCCTCGAAGTGCAAAGCGTTCCTCCAAGATTGGTCTGGACCGCATCCTACGCTGACCGTTGGTGGGAATAAGCTAGAAGTCGTTCAAAAATTCAACTACCTGGGAAGTTGTATCAGCGCCCGTAGGATTGAGGATGAGATCACGAACCGTATAGCAAAAGCTCGGGGCGCTATTGCTAACCTTCGCCACTTATGGCGCCGGTGCGACATCAGTCTCGTCCAGAAGGGTAGAGCGTACAATGCAGCGGTACGTTCGACCTTACTGTACGGTTGCGAAACCTGGCCGCTTAAAGCAGCGGACCTGAAGAGGCTAGTTACGTTCGACCATCGGTGCCTTCGTAATTTAGCTCACATCTGGTGGGAACACCGCGTAAGCAACGAGTATGTTCGACGCCTTGTTTACGACACAGGAAAAGGAAATGAACCGCTCAGCACCGTCATTTCACGCACCAGGCTCCGATGGCTCATCCACGTGTTACGCATGCCAGCGCACCGACTCCCGCGACGTGCGTTGTTTGCGCGCCGGGGGTGTGGATGGAAGAAGAGGGGTGGCCAAGCGATGACTTGGTCCAGAGGAATGAAGACCCTCACTTCTGAGCTGGCCTCGGTTGGAGCGTCTCGGCTCCCTGGTTGGGGTCCGAAAGACGATGAACACGTTTGGTTGGACACACTTGTTGATATGGCTAGCAGCCGACCAGTGGCGTTCGTGCTGTGAGTTTCTTTGTCCCACTCCACCCCTCTTAGTTTTCCCCTCCAACCACGATCTCATTAGTTAGCCTTATATAATTTTGCATAGTAATTTTTTTCTTTGATGTACAGTAGCCGGCTGGTAGCTTACCGGAACGATGCCCATGCGTTACCGTAGCTCAGCCGGCTTGCAACAGTTGCTTTTCGTTCCTCTTTTTTCTGTGTATTGCGGCACAGTAGCTGAGGTGTTCCCCACCTCTAGCTAACGTGTATGATGATGATGATGATGACGATGATGATGATGAGGAGGAGGAGGATGATGATGATGATGATGATGATGGTGATGATGGTGGTGATGATGATGATGATGATGATGATGATGATGATGATGATGATGATGATGATGATGGTGCAGCGAGAGCATGGGACGCATGCTAAGTAAGGTGGTTAACGGGCATACGGAAGGCATGACCTAGACAAGTAGAAATTTGTATCTGCACACCTCCATTGAAATAGTACCAAAAACGTTAAAGAAAACTATGACCTGTCACCACACTGACCGTTTTCCAAGTTTCCAGATGATATTGTGAAAAATAAAGCAGAACTCACTGTGAATGGGAACTTAAAAGTGTCAGATATCGTTGTCAATGGGCAAGCGATCTCGGAACCTAACCTAACAAACAAGGTTCTGAACTACTGCACCGAGTCTGCTTCCACTATATGCGCCGGCAAGCTGATGCATACATTGACGACGTGCGGCTCAAAGCACGAGGGATGGGGAACTCGCTTCAAATCTGGAACCACAAGCTTGTAATGGTGTCCATGTGTGCTGTAACGTGTTCGTAAATGGAACAGTGGGCTAAGCATGGGTAAGTCACCAAAATGCAGAATGCGGCAAGTATTGATGAAGTCGACTCACACTTGACGATAGGCCTCTTGCACCTGTCTTCGTACGGTAAGCTTCACAAACTAAGGATGAGCCTGGTAGGGACGTGTTGAGCGTTTGATTTCCTGCGCCTCACCTTGAGTGGTCGGGTAAGAGACGAGCGAACCGCACTCTAGCATTAGTCTGATGAGGGACGATACATTCAAATGAGGCACTGCGGGGCTCATGTTAAACCCCAACTACTGGACTTCAGCATTACTCATCGGGTGTTCCAAGCAAAACAGAACAATGCTACACCAACATCCGTGATCAAAGGCACTCAAGCTCTTGATGGCTTCAGTGCAAAGCATCCAGGTCCCTGATCCAGACAGTAGCAGCGATCTTATCGCAGCGATATAGCCTTCACACTTCACTGGCAGGCTAATATCACACCACCTCCATAGGACGTTGAGTCTCAGTAAAGTCACAGTACTTTACCGATAGGCGAAGTAACCATAGTAATTCAACTCCCAGAAGTAACATAATCACTAAGGTACAATAAATGACAAGCAGTTGAGTGAGATTCTAAGCTGGGTAAAGTATGTTACGAGTATGTGACGAACGAGAATAGATAAAAGGTTAAGCGGGGAGCAGAGAACGTGGACTCACAATGGAAGCAACAGATTGATTGATGATCTGCGCAATGGCGTCTCGCGTTTGCGGTTGCAGTGGTAAGAAACTAACTGCTTGCAAAAATGCATCAAAAGAGTCTTCCGCGAAGTCGATTACGGATGAGATGAATCGACCGTCACCAACAAGGAAGCGGCGAAGATCGAGGTTCTTTTGAGCGGCAAACCAGTGCTCCAGACGATGTAAGGTTAGTAGACTGAGGATCTGAGATGTCAAAAGTACACATTGTTTAGATAGATGAAACCCTTGATGAGCTCAATTCAGTTGGTGTATGGTGACATGGGAAATAGAAGGCAGTATGTGCAGCTGTAATGATTCAGGTAGCAGTGAAAATAAAATCTCAACAATAAAGGAAAAGCAAAGTCCCAGCGATGTTAAGGGTAAAATGGCAAAAATTTAGTTAAAAAGTTGGGTGAGTGACAAAAATGGAAGGAATGCGGAGCATCATTATTTGCTTAACTGCATCAATGGGTAGAGTTACCTACCACGGATGTGGCTGATGTCAACGTCTTCATGTGAGAGATAAAATTTAAAAACCCGGCAAATCGCACAATCAATCGGTTCGTGCTTTTGTGTTATGCTGTCAAATGGTCTTTGGGCTATGGTCACTCTTCGTCCTCAGACACGTGCAGTATCTACAGAAGATAAGCGATGAAGTAGGTGGTCGACAGGCATACAAAGGGCCTATAGACCTATACAGGTAGCACAAATGCAAAAAACGATCTAATGATGTGCTTTAGAACTAGTCGTAAGAATCTATCGGAATGCATATGAAGTCCCCACTCTGCAGTCTTTGAACACCGGACTTAAGATATAGCGATTGTGCCCCTGATAAATTCAATAACACTGGTTGTACACCCTGCCATTGATCAACAAACTGATAGTTCAACTGCGTCGCAGATGCTTGGGAATTAAAAGGGTGGGAAGTCACCTTGTAGACGAGCGTGGCGACCTATTCAGTGATCTGATCGTCTCAAACGATAGCTAACATTTTAATTGAACCAACTGGCCGTTCGCTATGGGTACAGTGGAAGACGAGAAGTGCACTCTGAACAAACCGATAATCTCATGTGTCTACTGCAGTTAATGGTAGTGTTGTGTATAAATACGTTGCTTTGCTGTTGCCCTTGATCCTCTTATCCTACTCATACTTCTAGTTAGCACTCGTTGGCCAATCATGTGATCTTGCATTTGATCGATTGCAATTCGAACCTCTATCGATTTAGTAGTACTGCGCGTGTGTGCGGACAGTTTTCTTCATACCTACGTTCCGGTGCTGCATTGGTCTGCTGTTTTTTCGGGACACAACAAATTGGCGTCGCGTGTTACCGATGTCTTTGCATGCTACTGCCCCTTCACTGTTCTGGGCTGACTCCGCAGCTACCCCAAAATGCAGAATGCTGGGAAAACTGGAAAAATAGTTTTTCAGATCATATTTCTGTGCTACCAGTTCTCAATCCATGCGTGACGATGAAAACGCAGGATACTTTAAAGCTCTTGCGCTTACACCTCGGCTCAGATGGTCGACGAATATTTGGTGTTCTAAATCTGTGGGAGAAACCGACGTTGACAGAGGCCTTATCGGTCCTCGATAAGCATTGGGGTGTTTGAGTGAACACCTATACTTCTCGGTACAATTTTTCACAGCTGAAACAAGCACCTGATGAATCAGTGGATGAATTCATTTCCCACCTTGTTTGTTCTGTTCAAAAGGGTGACTACAATAGTATTCTCAAGAAAAAAGTGGAAGAAACCATGCTAATACAACAACTGATTTCTGGTCTCACAGATTCTCAGATCAGCGAGTCGCTTAATGGAGAACGCGGAAAAGCTCACATGGGACAGGGCCTGTGACGCGACTTGCGCGAAGGGTGCAGTCACGGAACAAAACAAAATTTTGCTCTCAAACACAAGAGCTACTGAAATTGACCGTTTGGATTCTACACGCTCTCTGACGCGATCCTCAGTTAGAAATAAGTGTTGCCGTTGTGGAATTACTGAACATCGTGCAAATAATAAGTCATGTCCTGCAAAGAGTGAAATCTGCCGGAATTGCGGTAAGACCGGTCACTAAGTTCGAGTTTGTCGTCCCCGCGCCATTTCTTTAGGTGATTCTGCAAATGAATATAGAGCTTCTCTGATCACCACTGAACAATCCATACATGGCGTTAATGAATGCGAACATCCATTTTCGTCTCCAACCCAAGAACCCAAACAGCCTTCGTCAGATATTCGTCCTGTGTTTTTTGAAGTTAGCAACAAAACCATTTGTCTAGACATGGAACTAGATTCCGCGTCACCAATCACAGTTGTGTCATATTGTTTTTGCAAACAACATTTTGGTCAGCTAACTGTACATCTTTCCGCTTACACTTTCAGCAGCTACTCAAATGGTGATATCCACATACTCGGCTTTGTTACGGTTTCAATGTTCCTTATAAACAGCAAAAAGCGTATAGTTGAAGTTTACGTCTCTAAAACTGATGGTAACTCACTATTAGGACGTAATGTCATGGTCTTATTGAACGTATCACCATGCGTCAGCCGGATGAATATTTCCAGCATCAACCTTCATTCGTTACGTTCCAGTTACCCAAATCTCTTTCTTCCGGATATTAGTAGAGTCCCAAAAGTAATGCACCGCATTCGGTTGAGCGCGGATTACAAACCGTTCAGCATTTCTCAACCTAGGCCTGTACCTCTGGCCAAGCGAGAGGCGTTGTCGCAAGCTTTGAAAAATATGGTCACGGAAGACTTGATAGAACCCGCACAGTCTTCTGAATGGATTCATCCACTAGCTACCGTTCAAAAGAAAGATGGCTCTATTCATCTATGCACCGACCTTGGAGCGGACAAGCTCCCTCTGCCTTCTATCGACGAGTTGATGTTTAGGCTTTCAAACGCCAAACTTTTCTCAAAGCTGGATATTCGCAGTACATACTACCACATGCCACTGACTCCAGATTGCCGACATTTGACTACTTTCCTCACGCAACACGGTTTGTACCAATACAAAGTGTTACCAATGGGCCTTAGTAGTGACCCAGCAGCTTGGCAGAAGTTTATTACTCTATCGTTATAAGATCTCAAAGGATGTGTTGTGTATATGGATGATATTTGTGTCTTTGGTAGTAACCCCACCGAACATCAGGAAAACATTCATAATGTGCTGAATAGACTGAATGAACTAAATCTCCGCCTGAATACCAACAAATGCCAATTCGCTGTAACGAAGGTCGAGTTTATTGGACAGGTTATTTCTGCCTCTGGTATTAAGCCTAAGGTGCCGAACACCAGAGCCATTCTCGATTGTCCAAACCATGC